CTGTGGAACGATATGGAAAGCTGTTAATGTTTTATCACAAGGTTGAAGAGATTTTAGGTTTGATAATCAGCTGATTTGGATGACCCATCAGCTCATTGTTAATGGAACAAATCATCTTCTAATGCTGGGTTTAAACATCTATATGTTCAAACATTTAAAGAGGAGATGCTTTTTCTGATTGCATGATGAAGCAGCATCAGCACTGAAACACCTCAGCAGCACAGCATGAATAGAAGCACCTGTCAGGTGTGACTGAGCACAGTGTCCAAGTTCACAGACCGATACGGAAAACTGTTCATGGTTCACACAGAGTCACAGACAGATTATTAGTTTCATAAAGTGCGTTTTGTTCCGTTAAATAGATACTGTGTGAGAATCACGTTTCATGGCACAGGTATGTACAGGTAACATTCATGTTTCTTCGTTCAAACATTTACAGAACCTCTCAGGTCGGAGGAATACAAAACTTCACAGCATGAAAAGGCAGAAATAATTCAGCAAAAATAAAAATGTTTTTTTTTTTATGTGAAATCCTCCGTGGGATCAAGCGCTTCATTAATGTTTCCCCTCGCTGAGATTAGTGGAAACAGAGCGAGGAAGTTTAATCCCCTCAGTTATACAAAGACATGTACATGCATGAAATAGAATTGAAAGACCCATTTTCCTCAGAAAAATGTCCGTCACATGGACTGGAGCTATTGATGCACAGAGTCTGTTCCTGTTCGTCTGTCAGCCGCGGCTCAGCGGAGCTACGGGTCAGACGGGCGACTCGGAGACAGAGGGAGAGATGAAAAGGACTCGCCCAAGTCTCTTCCTCTGATAGATCGAGTTATTGCCGTAAGCAGAAGGCAGGGAAAGGGGGGAGGGGCTGTCCTATGACATCGTCTCACACTGTGGAAATCAATTTGACGTCTGTGGAACTGTGGACAGAGAGAGGAGAGGTGGGCTGGCTGGAAAAAAAGACAAAGGTCTGGGATCTGAACTGAGCCTGACCTGCTGAGACTGAAGCAAAGACATGCAGGGAGCTGAGACATAAAGCAGCAGCAGAGCGGCGGGGAGTCGAGACATGAAAATGAACAAACTGAAGAAGGTGGAATGATTTCAACTGAAATAAAAACAACAAACAGACCTGAAGACTTTAAACATGAAACCAGCCGTCAGAAACAACGGATCAGAACAACATAATGGTGTCAGATGGAGTTTATGGAGTTGCTGATTTTATGTTCAATAATGCATTTCTTTACGACTTCCTTCTCCAGCTCAGGTGCAAACCAAACAACACAGAGTAAATAAGAAGATCACTATAAAGTTATGAAGGGTTAGCTTAAACAGTAGCCTGATGCTAGGTGGGTACTGGACCTTAATTTGAGCAGCTTAATAAAATAAAACTAGATAGTCTACATTTAAAATAATGGAGATACTTTTTCTCATTTTAAATGGAAAGTATCTTCTTCCATTTAAAATTTTCTTAGCTTCTTAACTCAAGGAAAAATATTTGTATTTGAAGAAAAGTTGACTGGTCTGTTCATTTTT